TTGATTTGTAAAATATGCTCTTGACCTAGCTTTTAATCATAAAAGTAATTAGATTATACCCCTTTTAAGTTATATAACTTTCCAAATAATTTATTAATTCTATGATAGAAGAGAATATTAGTTAGTAGAATTTTGAGCCAAAAATATTCCTAAGATATATGAAAAAAAAAGAAAAGTAGTTTCAAGAATGTGTTTTAGCTAAAAAAATAATAATATTATACTAATTCGATAATATTACTAAACCGATATTACAAACAACTGTATTAAACTGAATCGATAGCATTATCTGACGTGCAATATGAATACACGTATTGATACAACTAGCTAGCTAGCACAAGAATTTTATANCCCTTTTAAGTTATATAACTTTCCAAATAATTTATTAATTCTATGATAGAAGAGAATATTAGTTAGTAGAATTTTGAGCCAAAAATATTCCTAAGATATATGAAAAAGAAAAAAGAAAAGTAGTTTCAAGAATGTGTTTTAGCTAAAAAAATAATAATATTATACTAATTCGATAATATTACTAAACCGATATTACAAACAACTGTATTACACTGAATCGATAGCATTATCTGACGTGCAATATGAATACACGTATTGATACAACTAGCTAGCTAGCACAAGAATTTTATAAATTTTGTTTCCAAAGATAAAGACAAAGGAATTTTTATAAAATTAATTGATTCCATAATTTTATTAATAATTAATTATTTATAAGTATGCAATATGGCTGTTGGCTGCCTGGATGTGTTGAGGTCACTCTTTGTCTCCTGTGAGATATGAAGGGCCAATTTTAAGAAAAGGTCAGGGTTAGGTAAGATTAATAATAAATCAAAAAAAAAAAAAAAAAAAACCAATTAAATTTAATAAATTTATTAATTTGGTTTTTGGATGATTAACTAATTATTTGCATGTGGATTAGGAACCAAGCCAATTGATTTTTTTTTAGTGATTTTAAAAATGTTTTCAAATGGATTGTATTGTTTGACTGTTTTTTTTTCCTTTTCAAATAAAAAAATCACTTGGAATACTTAAATATATATTTTAAGTGTTTTTTTTTTTTTTGATAAATCCAGTAATTACCTCTTTCGTTTTTCAAACTTTGGGTATAACTAATATCATCACAAGGGGAGAGGTCTTATTTTAAGTGTTTTTTTCTTATACGAAAAATGGGTAACAATCAAAACATTTGTAAATACGTTAAAAACTTCAACACGTCAATTATACATATATTCTCAACAGATGAGAATATGTTTGATATATGTTGTACATACACGTATCATAAATAGATGGTCGAACTTTGCAACCGATATATAATAGATAAATATTTACTTAAAAAAATACTTAAATGTACTTGTATAAATAGAATAATATTCTTTAAAAAAAATCATTTTTACTCCCATGAATGTGGAAAAAACTTTGATGCATTCGTTGCATATATAATTAATCAATAAGGGTATACCACCTCATACCACTTACATAATGCGTACATACCTTATAATCACCTGATCGCTCATACAATCGAAGCATATAGATAGAATCAGTATTCAATACACTAATTATATCGGGTTTTTTTTCTTTTCTTTTCTTAAACCCTAAATGGCTAAATCTCACATCATTGTGGATAGCATTGATAAGCATGGACATAATCTTTCTTTGATAAAATTAGTCAATAAGGGTATAACACCTCATCCCACCTACATTATGCGTACATACCTTATAATTTGTTCGCTCGTGCAATCGAAGCATACAGATAGAATCATTCTTTGATATACCAATTATATTGGTTTTTTTTTTTCTTTTTCTTTAAACCCTAAATGGCTAAATCTCACATCATTGTGGGTAGCATTGATAAGCATGGACATAATCACAACAGGGAAAATTGGATGTGTATAGTTTGATTGATCAAATCAGTTTGACATTTTGCAAAGAATATGCACCATGATTGTCCTTCTCCAAAGTAAGAATAAGAAAATGACATTTCTTCCAAAACTATTGTAAGTGGAAAATGAAAATTTCACATCACTTTTTGCAATTTGCATCAGCATATATAGACTTTCAAAAGTAAAAAGAAAAAAAAAATTGCCTAACCAAAACACATATATTCTATATGCAACTGACGCATATACATCTAGTCGATGAGAGAACATCTTTCTTTTTTTAATAGCTGCGGTATCCGGGCATAGTGGCCAACTAAGACCTTAGCCCTTAGGGCAACGAAACACCCTATAAGCACAATAGACCAATGTAATTGCATAAATGTGATATGTGTCTCTCTTATGACTCGAACACAAACTTGTGAGTATAGTTAACCCTAATGACTAAAGGGTTTGCCATCCGACTACAAGAGAAGAGGTCAACGAGAGAATATTATGTGAAATAAGAAAATGAAAATGAAAAAAAAAGCTCATGTAGAGTAGAAATACATATAAAAAATTGTGTAGAATAGAAATATAGATAAATATTATTATACATATACATCCGAGCAACTTATTTTAATTTATTCTTTTATTAATTAGAACAATACTGATATACATCGGGATTTTTAAATAATTTAGAGAGGTGTTTAATAATTATAAAAAGATTTTGGTAATTACTGAAAATTTTAAAGATCTGTAAAGGGAGTATGAAATAGACCCTAAATCATTTTATAACTCGAGCAATTCAAACCTCTTATCAAAACAAATTTTTTTAATTAATTATATCTTTTTCACCACTAATATTAATCTATCAAATTAAAATTAAAAATATAATTTTCTCATAATTTCTTTAATTAACTTTAAAAAATCCAACTTAAAACACCAACATCTTAATTTAAAAAAAGGAAAAAAGAAGGCGCGTGTCGCCACGCAGAATAACAACCATTACATCATTCGCGCGAGAATCCATACCATCCCCTTCCACGCTTTTCACCAGCTCGTGAAAGTCACTCTACTCACAAACTGTAGAAAACCCCTCAAAACTTTCCCTCCACCCAACACCCTTCAAAACCCGTCGACTCCGCCGCGTCCGGTGGAGAGGTTTCAGCAAATTCCGTGGGACACGCGCGTGGGTGCGCAGGATAAGGAGGAGGAGAGGGGGAGGGGTGAAGGATAAGAAGAAGAAGAAGAACAAGGACCCATCTGGTGCGCACATTAGAGTTAGGTAGTGGAAAGATGACAAGAGACAACAAAGAGAAAGAGCGGGATAATATCATTTAAAGGACACCTTTTTAAGAGGTATATAAAGGACATTATCTTAAAAAAATGCACAGCTAGAGGACATTTAACGGTAAAACACTGTTAACTTTACCTTGATATTGTAAAATGACTTAAATACCCATGTATATTACATTATGATATCCTTTTTCCCAAAAAAAATAATAATACATGTATAATTATGTAAGTTAAAAAAATTAAAAAGTTCAAAACTAAAATGCAAAATATATTAAAAAATATTGGTAAACTTATTCGATTTAAGAATCTTATTTAAATAAAGGGTCTATTTTGGAAAATTACATTAATACCCTTAGCAAAGCAAAAGTTAACTGTGTTTCATATTAACTGTTATTTAGTTGTGAGTTTTTCAAAAAAAGTGTCTTCTAACTGTCATTTTTCTTAAAAATATGTACGTTTCTGAAAAAAGTGTCCTCTACAAGAAAACATGTTTTTTGAAAACACTTCTTAAAAGTTTATTGTGATCTTTGACTCTCTGTAGCTCAAGATAGACACAACACATTTATACTATAAATAAATTAAATAATTAATGGATCATGTTATTATGGAAAGATTCACAAGATTGGACCCCTTATAACTAAAACATTATTATATTTTAATTAATTTTTTTTTTTATTATTTGTTACCTATTTGACTCTTGGTGTATTATAATATAACGTTTTAGTAACATTTGAATACTAATTAATAATTTATTAAATATTGTATGCTATTTATTTATTTACAAATTCGAATTCAAAACTAGAATTCTCTCAAACCATACGATTTGTGAGAAGTAAGAAATTATTTTCTTGATTATGTTATTGGATACAAACATCCTTAGTCATATTTTTACGATTAAACCTTAACGTGTTCTAATATAATACAAATGTACCAAACTCCTTCGATTGTATTACGTATGAGAAGAAAAAATACATCCGATTAATGACATTAAGACGTTCGTCCTATCGAAGAGTTATCGGTATTAGATTCTTTTGTGTTCAATATTACTATATTCTTATTTATTTTAATAAAAAATAAATTAAAAAAAGAAAAAAAAAAAAAGAGAAGTTGGAGTTAAAATAATGAGGGAACAGTCTTGGGGGTCTCTTTTAAGGTGTCGTGTAGCTCAATGGATTCTTCTTAGAAATAATGATGGGACTTAATGGGGTTTCACCACAACTACTTCAACAAGAAGAAGGAGACTTGCTCTTTCTACGACTACTTCTGCCACCGTTTCTTTCATTCTTCCTTGTCGTTTTGAGTTCTGTTGCTGTTATTGTTGTTGCAGAGAACACGCTGAGCTTTTAGCGGGAAAAACCAACTAACTGCCCTTTTCATTCGTGCATGTCGGTTTGAAGTAAAATAAAAAGGTTGGTTCCTTTTGTACTTGTTCCTGTTTTCCTTTTTATGTTTTTTGTTTTTCCCTTTTCTGGGATTTTTTTCTTTTTGCCCTGTTTGGTTTCCCAGCAAGGAAAGAAAAGTTGATTGAAAAACTTTCTTATTTTTGTTTTCTGAGTCAGAATTCAAAAGGGTTTCTCTTGTTATTGCTCTTCTTTCTGGTTTTAATTACTTCTTCAAGTTCTGAGTTCAATTCATAAGATAAAAAGGATTTTTATTTTAACTTTTATGAGTGTCTTCATTGATGAATTTTGTTTCATTTGGCTGATTATTTGTTCTTCTGATTGTTTATTGATTCTGTTTTCGAAATAGTTAAGCTGGAATTTATGTTTTTGTTGTTTTTTTAGAAGCTTTTCCCAGTTTTGGATTTGCTTACTAATTTGGCTTTTGAAATTTGAACTTTTCTTTTCGAGATAATTGGTTTCTTCTTAATGGATGCTTTGTAGCAGAAATCAAAACCATTTTTAGTGATAATATTTTTAATTTTGATTTTGATTTTCTCTGCTGCTCCCTTGAAGTGGAGAATATGAAGAGAGGTTTAACAGTCTTGTTTGTTGCTAATTTTTCTCAACCTGCTGAATTAGCATCTTGCCATTTTCTGTTTTTGGCTTGTTATTGTTCTACCCCGTACTCCCCCGGTTCATTGTCTTCTCAATATCATGATTGCTCATATCGTTATCTAGTCAAAAGTATGAGATTTGGTTACTTTCAAGTTGTAGGCTTGGTGCTTCTTATATCTTAATCTACAATTCGACACAACTCAGTAACTAGCTTGGTTTCCTTCATTTTTCGCAATATAGCATTAGCGATTTGATAACCAACATGTTTTGAATCACCGGAGTGTCTTTTATTTGTTAAAATTTGTGATAGTTATGAAGAAAGATGTTCTGGAATAATGTCATACTCATATTCATCCTGTTGGCAATAAAGTATTTTAGGTATGAATAGGTCCACCATTAGCACATAAAAGGAGACAAGTGAACAGTAAGCTCCAATAATGGAATGACATGGCAATTTAAACATGATTTAGAAATCAATATAAAACAAAAAGATATGATGATTGGTTTCCAAACTTTTATTACACTTGGCTGTGATTTGAGCGTTGTAAAAGGGTGCACAGTAGGTGCAAGTTGCTTCTTCTGCTTTGTTAAGTGCTCTTGGTTGAAATCTAAGCATTGTTTATAGAGATCAGAATGCTGTTTTGGCTAAAGTTCAATGTTCTTAGTTGAATTCTTTTATTTGTAAAGTTTCGGGATTTCTGGGCAGACTGTTGGTCAATACCAATATCTCTAATTTCCATCGATGAGCAATTTGGTCTTATGCTTCTTATTGGGAAATGAAATAAGCAACTTTGGCAGTGGAAGTGACAAGATTCATCATCAACTCTTTATTTACTTCTAAAGTCAGTGTGTATAATGCCAACTCGGAGTTTCCAGAATGCTAGTGCTTGTTAGAGAGCTTAGTACTAGTATTGTATTCTTGTTTGTTAGCTTAAGCTTTCAGGCTGAAGTTTTTAGGTTGACTGATTACTTATCCATATGAACTTCTGATTATTTTTGAATTTATATCAAAACAAATATTGAGCTTTCACATTTGAGGTTTTCATGAATCAATCTGTTAATTGCATGAAAAAAAAATTATTGTCTTAGAATTCCTCTGTTTTGCTTTTAGATGTTAGTAACTGATTGACTCTAATCATGAGCATGAAGACCAAGAAATAGAAAATCGATTTCTTGTTTGTGTTATTTTTGCAGTAAATTAATGCTTTTTTCTTTCTCTACTTGTACATCCAACTGCTCTGGTTAAGTGTGTCTTGTAGAGTGTGGTGTGCATTGAGATATTTGACTTACATTGCTAGATTTGTATAGTTAGACTGCTACATACTCCGTCCGCTTTTTTCTTCTTGCATCCTTATAAATAATTCGTCTTGTGTTGATTTCATCTGCAAAAGATAATGCTTATTGTTAAATTGAAGTCTTCTCAGATCTGAATCAAATTATGTCAGAACTTAACACTTAGACTATGTTGCTATTGCGTAAGTAGAGCCAGTAAGGTTTCCATGACTTCGGTTGTTATCCACTGGAACTCTGTCAATTTGATATCCTGTTAGCCTGATTTTCTTTTAGTTCAAATTTAGACATCAAACTCAACTACACCTTTTATCAATTTTGCATCTTGTTGTCTTTATGCTTATATCTTGTATTTGTGTTTACGTCTAAAGCTAATGGAGCTGCATCCCATCATAAGTTCGAAGGGCATGAACTCTCCGTCCACCCAGTTTGTCACCCCAAGTAGATTGGCAATTTATGAGCCCATTCATCAACTTGGCACATGGGGGGAAAACTTCAAAAGTAATGGCAATCCGAATACATCAACACCTATGATTGTGGAGGTGGATACAAAACTAGATACTCAGGTGCGACTATTGACATTTACTCTACTTGGTCTGATAGTAGAGGACACATTATTTGGATTCCCAAGCTAAATAATTCTTTTGTTCAACTTTTCAGTCAGAGGATACTTCGCAAGGAACGTTCCCGCTTTCTAACAAGTACGAACAAGAAGCAAGTAAACCTGTTGATAAGGTAAGTTTGATTGTATTTCTGGTCATTTGTTTCTCTCTGATTCTAATTTATATGAATATTATTTGTAGTGGGTGGACATATCAGTTAGTTTGTCGAAAGATTTCCATTGAAAATTAGAAGAGTACATACTGTTTTTCTCCTCTAGGTTCTCTTCCCCTCCTTTTCCTGCTACATGTTTATTTGCATCTTCTGTTCTCTGCAGGCTCAAACTCTTGTTCTGCTTCTTAATCTTTGATCCTTGTTTCTTCTCTGAAATTATTGTTGCTTTATGTTTGCCTAATTGGCTGAAACTTTTGAAATATTACACTCCTAAAAAGTGGTTAATGTATTAATGCAATGAAGGTGGTTTTTGTGTTAGTTTGCTAGGACTTTTGATAATTGCTGTGTAATTTGGTATAGTTGTATTTTGCTAATGTTAGCATATAGTATTCTGTTGTTTTCTCTGGCTTTCTTGAATTACAACTATTTTCAAATTGATCCTTTTCTCCATGATTGATTCAGAAATTACTTAAAAATAGTCTATATCTGCACAAAGCCAAGAACTGGCACATAATTTAATGTACTACACACTGCCTTTGACTTCACTTTATTCAGTGCATTCATTCTCACAATTGACCAATTTGACCCGTAGGTTATGGCTAATTTTGTATATGGTTTTTTTTAATGTATTAAATGATATTCCCTTCAATATGAAATGAGCCTTTTTTCTTTTTATTACTAAATTCTGCAGATACAAAGACGTCTTGCACAAAACCGTGAGGCTGCTCGTAAAAGCCGGTTGCGGAAAAAGGTAAGATGAGGCCTGCTTTGAAACAGATTCCCTAACATGCAACAAGTGGTTTGGGATTTTAAATTTAATTTGAGTTTGTTTTGCAGGCCTATGTTCAGCAGCTAGAATCTAGTAGATTAAAGTTAGTTCAGTTGGAGCAGGAGCTTGAGCGAGCTAGACAACAGGTATAGAGAAGATTACTATTTCTGTTTCTTGTTTAGTCGATTGGTATTATGACTTATGACACTAGAAGCCCTTTCCCTCCTATTTCCTATTCACATTCAAATATTTGAAACAACGAATGCTACTCTGCAGGGTTTGTATATAGGTAGTGGAGTAGAAGGTTCTCAGATGGGGTTCTCTGGACCTGTAAACTCAGGTTTGTGAAAATATTGCTGAAGTACTTCTGGTTTTGATGTCCTCACTTGTAAACATTGCTATTTCTTGAAATTGCATGTTTCTATTTGCTGTGTTTTGGTATCTGACTCTGGAAACCTAGAGTGTATGCTTGATAATAAGACTTTGTGGAATTTTGGTACTGCTAGCTTACCACCACCACCACCCATTGTATGCTCCTGCTATTTAATGTTTTAATCATGTTCCCTTCAAAGCATGATTACTCCAATATGTTCATAGTTTTATTTCCTAAATCTTCATTTTAATTTTCCGCCATCATTTCAAGTTCTTGTAAAGAGTACGTAAGAAAGACTTCATACATTCTTCATCCACACTGAAGTCATTTCAATGCTGTCTATAAATTAAATGTCTCGAAAATGTTCCTGGCAAAAGATTTCAGCCGTCCATAAGCACAAGTTTCCAATGCTTTGCAAAGTTGACACCACCATGACAATTGATGTTGTGTTATGAAGCTATGTATATAATCTCTGATGCGCTGAATGTGTTCTCTGTGATTTGATTTCCTGTAATTCCTGTTGCTTATAGAACACTCTACTTTTTGTCATTTCATGTTCTTGCATTCAACAAAAAGTCCTCACCGAGGTTTGTGCAGGAATTGCTGCATTTGAGATGGAGTATGGACACTGGGTTGAAGAGCAAAATAAGCAAACTTGTGAACTGAGGTGTGCTTTGCAGGCCCATATTAGTGATATAGAGCTTCACATACTAGTGGAGGGTGGCATGAGCCACTATTTTGAACTTTTCCGCATGAAATCTATTGCTGCAAAAGCCGATGTTTTCTATGTAATGTCCGGCATGTGGAAGACAGCAGCTGAACGTTTTTTCTTTTGGATAGGAGGATTTCGTCCTTCTGAGCTTCTTAAGGTGATTCATATTTCAATTTATTTAATAAGTGAAATAACTTGCTCCATTGAAGGTATTTATGGACAATAAATGGAGTAACCATAGTTTTGGACACATTTCGTAATATATTATATGTATGTGTAAATATTGCTCTTTCACATATTTCTTAATCGAGTTGTTATCTAAGGTCTTCCACCACAGGTAGAATAACGCTGTTCGTAAACTGACATTGATAACAGGTTCTTGTTCCTCATCTTGACACCTTGACCGATTCACAATATATGGAAGTTAGTAACCTAAGACAGTCATGTCAGCAAGCGGAAGATGCTCTGTCTCAAGGCATGGAGAAATTGCAATCAACTCTTGCTGAAACTGTAGCTGCTGGTCAACTGGTAGAAGGAGGTTACATCCCACGGATACCTACTGCAATGGAGAAGTTGGAAGCTCTAGTCGTCTTTGTGAACCAGGTAAGAATCCGCATCATTGCCCAATCAAGTATGGCTTTAGTCTGGATTCTTCGGAAGTATAGCTGATGTTTCTATTGCATGCTATCTGTACTTTCAATATCTTTCAGTAATCCATTTTCTGATCTGTCATACTTTTTTTCTCCTATAGGTTCTCTTCCCCTCCTTTTCCCTCTGTATTTTTCTTGTTCAGGGTTTATCTGTTGTACATGTTTATTTGCATCTTCTGTTTTCTGCAGACTCACAAACTCTTGTTCTGCTTCTTAGTCTTTGATTCTTGTTTCTTCTCTGAAATTATAGTTGCTTTATGTTTGCCTAATTGGTTGAAACTTTTTGAAATATTACACTCCTAAAAAGTGGTTAATGTATCAATGCAATGAAAGTGGTTTTTGTATTAATTAGCTAGGACTTCTGCTAATTGCTCTGTAATCTGGTATATTTGTATTTTGCTAATGTTAGCATATAGTATTCTGTTGTTTTCTCTGGCTTTCTTGAGTTATAACTATTTTCAAATTGATCCTCTTCTCCATGATTGACTCAGAAATTACTTAAATAGTCTATATTCGCACAAAGCCAAGAATTGGCACATAACTTAATGTACTGTGCACTACCTTTGACTTCACTGTATTCAGTGCATGGATTCTCACAATTGATCAATTTTACCCACAGGCTCTGGCTAAGTTTGTATAAGGCTGTTTTAAAATATTAAATGATATTCCCTTCAACATGACATGAGTCTTTCTTCTTCTTGTTTTTTGTTACAAAATTCTGCAGATACAAAGACGTCTTGCACAAAACCATGAAGCTGCTTGTAAAAGCTGGTTGCAGAAAAAGGTACGAGGAGGTCTGCTTTGAAACAGATTCCCTAACATGCAACAAGTGGTTTGGGATTTTAAATTTAATTTGTGTTTGTATTTCAGGCCTATGTTCAGCATCTAGAATCTAGTAGATTAAAGTTAGTTCAGTTGGAGCAGGAGCTTGAGCAAGCTATACAACAGGTATAAAGAAGATTTACTATTTCTGTTTCTTGTTTAGTCCAGTAGTTCCTGTTGCTTATAGAATACTTCTTTTTGTCATTTAATGTTCTTGCATTCAATAAAAAATCCTCACCGAGGTTAGTGCAGGAATTGCTGCATTTGAGATGGAGTATGGACACTGGGTTGAATAGCAAAATAGGCAAATTTGTGAACTGAGGTCTGCATTGGAGGGTGGCATGAGCCATTATTTTGAACTCTTCTGCATGAAATATGCTGCTGCAAAAGCCAATATTTTCTATGTAATGTCAGGCATGTGGAAGGCAGCAGCTGAATGTTTTTTCTTTTGTGTTGGAGGATTTCGCCCTTCTGAGCTTCTTAAGGTGATTCATATTTCAGTTTATTTAATAAGTGAAATAATTTGCTCCATTGAAGGTATTTATGGATAATAAATGAAGTAACCATAGTTTTGGACACATTCGTTAATATTCATGTAAATATTACTCTTTCACATATTTCTTAATCGAATTGTTGTCTAAGGTGTTTCACAGTATATGGAAGTTGCTAACCTAAGACAGTCATGTCAGCATGCAGAAGATGCTCTGTCTCAAGGCATGGGGAAATTGCAGTCAACTCTTGCTGAAACTATAGCTGCTGGTCAACTGGTAGAAGGAGGTTACATCCCACGGATACCTATTGCAATGGAGAAGTTGGAAGCTCTAGTCAGTTTCGTGAACCAGGTAAGAATCCGCATCATTGCGCAATCAAGTATGGCTTTATTGTGGATTCTTCTAAAGTATAGCTGATGTTTCTTTTGCATTCTATCTGTACTTTCAATACCTTTCAGTAATCCATTTTCTGACCTGTGAATTAGTTCTTTATCAGCACATCTGATTTAAATTCAGGAACTTTCTAGTCAATCAAATTTGCATTTCTGTGAAATTGAAGTTTTCTTCTACTTCTAGCTGTTTATTCAAGCACTATGCAGCTAGTATGGAAAATAACTAGCTGATGATTGAGTTAGTATTCTGGCCGAAATTCTGTGAGCCCGTGATGCGAGACAAATCACATCTTTTCTCTTCCCTTTCCTCTTAAATCATCTTCTTGGCATTGAGCTCACTATTTTGGTGGTTTAATGCATTCATGATGTGTAGGCAATATCATTTTTCGTGATGTACTCAAAAACCGTAGTTAAATTTTCCTCTGAGTGCTTCTCTTTTACTGCAAACTTAAGTATGGTTACAGACTCTAATATGGATATTCTTCACTGTTGAGAGTTTCTCCAAATAAGATTTCATGATCGACGATCAAACCCCCAATTGGTGTTTCATTAAGAAAAATGATATGCCAACAGGTGTCTTGTTGCTTCGGTAGGAAACCCCCCAGAGGAAATTCAAGACTATTTACTTCAATTCTCAAGCCTGATCTTCTAGATATGCCAAATCTTGGAACTTCTCTATAGTATTCTGTATAGTTGCGGCGCCCTGCATAATAGTTCAATGGTTTCTGGATAAAGCTTTCTTTATCTTGCCTTCTAAACTACACGGCTTACTTTCTGTAATTTATATTCATGCCCTGCAGTTCTCTTCCAGGATTGTTGAAGTGCCTCTTTTTTAATGCAATTCATTGCGCTTTCAGGCTGGCTTGATCCCCGCGAATGCTAATAATTTGGCTGGCAACTTGGCTTGTGGACACATATTCCCTTTACTGTCATCTCGATGTTCTCTAGATTTTCTTCCCTGGAATTGGTTTATGTTGCCGAACTACTATTTAATTATGCGTTAGATCAAGGATACTGCTATGTTGACGTTTCTGATGTTTGGTTTTCTGGGCTATGAAATGTATGTTAATTGCTCTTGAATACTTTTGTAAGCTTGCTATTATTTGGGTGTTCTATTGTGTTTGAAACACTAGTTTATTATTGAACTTCTCCTGAACTTTTGCCTTCTAAGGCTGATTTTTGTCTACATGTTTGCATAATTAGATTTGTTTTCCAGTATATCGTTTATACTACACCCGATCATATAAACTGCTAATTGCTGATACCAGGGGCTGATAACCTGAAGTTCAGGTACATAAGGGAAATCTCCGAGGGTTTACAGCTTTAATTTCAATATCACTGTTGGATCTGATCAGAAAATGGTAACTTTCCAAGTAGTCCACCTTTCTCAACAAGAAAGGCTATCTGTTTAGGCCTTGGTTTGGGCTTGTTTTGGCTTTGTAAATTGTTGTTTCTTTGTTCCGCCTGGTTTTTTTGTTAACTGGTGTAAGGATATACATCCTTAGCTTTTAGGCTTTTACTTTGTTTGCTTTCTTGGGCCGTCCAAGGTAAGAGAGCTGTGTTTTTTTTTTCCTCATTTCCCTGTATTTTTTCATATATTCCTGGGTTTAAAAAAAAAAAAAAGGTTTTTATTATCTCAAGAAGATGATTTTGGATTTTTTTTTTTTTTAAAAAAAAGATGTCCTTAACTCCAATTTAATATATGCTAATTTAACAATTTGAGAAGAAAAAAGGGTGTCATAAAGCAAAAGGGTTTGATCACTCCTTGGTGATGTTTTCCTTTGTAAGTGAAACAAAATGAAAATTTTGCAGAAAATTAAGGCCTTTTTCTTTCTCTACTTATGCATCCAAGTCCTTTGGTGAATGTGTGCATGTGTAGATTGTGGTGTGCATTAAGATATTTGACTTTCACTGCTAGATTTGTGTAGTTAGACTGCCACATCGTCCACTTTTGTCTTTTTGCATCCTTAAAAATATTTGATTTCATCTGCAAAAATAATGCTTATTGTTAAATTGAAGTCTTCTCAGATCTGAATCAAATTATGTTAGACTTAACTCTTAGACTCTGTTGCTGTTGCGTAAGTAGACAAGTTTTTAAGGTTTCCATGACTTCGGTTTGTACACCCTGGAACTCTGTCAATTTGATATCTTGTTAGTCTGATTTTGTTTGGTTCAAATTTAGCCCTCAAACTCAAATACCCTTTTTTATTTTGTATCTTGTTGTCTTTATGCTTATATGTTGTGTTTGTGTTTATGTCTAAAGCTAATGGAGCTGCATCCCATCATATAGGGCATGAACCTTCCGTCCACCCAGTTTGCTACCCCGTAATGGAATTTATGAACCCATTCATCAACTTGGCACATGGGGGAGAAGTTTGAAAGTATGGCAATCCAAATACATCAACACCTATGATTGTGGAGGTGGATACAAAACTAGACACTCAGACTCAGGTGCGAACTAGTGACATTACTCTACTTGTCTGATAGTAAGGGCATATTATTTGGATTCCCAAGCTAAATAATTCTTTTGTTCAACTTTTCAGTCAGAGGATACTTCGCATGGAACATCCCTTCTTCTAACAAGTATGAACAAGAAGCAAGTAAACCTGTTGATAAGGTATGTTCAACTGTGTTTCTGTCATTGTTTGCCTCTGATTCTATTTATATGAATATTATTTGTGTTGGGTGACATATCTGTTAGTTTGTCGAAAGATTTCCATTGAAAATTAGAAGTACATGCGGTTTTTCTCCTCTAGGTTCTCTTCCCCTCCTTTTCCCTGCTGTATTTTTCTTGTTAGGTTATCTATTGTACATGTTTATTTGCTATCTGTTTTCTGCAGACTCACAAACTCTTGTTCTGCTTCTTATCTTTGATACTTGTTTCTTCTCTGAAATTATTGTTGCTTTATGTTTGTCTAATTGGTTGAAACTTTTGAAATATTACCCTCCTAAAAAGTTTTCATGTATTAATGCAATGAAGGGTTTTCGTATTATTCGCTAGGACTTTTGGTAATTACTCTGTAATCTGGTATGTTTGTATTTTGCTAATGTTAGCATATAGTATTCTGTTGTTTTCTCTGGCTTTCTTGAGTTATAACTATTTTCAAATTGCCTCTTCTCCATGATTGACTCAGTAATTACTTAATAGTCTATATCTGCACAAGCCAATGGCACTAACTTAATGTATATGCACTACCTTTGACTTCACTGTATTCAGTGCATGGATTCTCACAATTGACCAATTTGACCCAAAGGTGGTGGTAATTTTGTATATGGTTTTAATATAATAATTATATTCCCTTCAACATGACAGGGGTCTTTTCTTCTTTTGTTTTTTGTCACAAAACCATGAGGC